ACCCACAATGGGGAAAAAGCTGAGGGGAAGCAGAGATGAAGCACTCCCTCCTAGTTCTCCTGTGTGAAGTTCTCCCTTGGTTATGCTCCCCAGCTCCAAGTGGAAAAGAGGCCCAAGGTTAGGGAATCTCACACTTCTAAGAACACAGGAGAATCCGGGCATAGTGGCACATATCTGTAATCACACTACTGGAGAGGCTGAAGCAGGAGGAGCGCTTCAAGGTTAAGGCCAGTCTGGGCTACTTAGCAATCCAGGGCCATCCTGATCTACATGGTGAGACCTTGTTTCAAAACAAAACAAAACAAAACGGGGCTGGCCAGGAATTTCGCTCAGTGTGTCTGCCTGGCAAGCCCAGGTCCTGAGTTCAATTCCCCAGTGGGATTGGGGCAGGGCTGGACAATGGACACACCCCACAGGATGAGGACTCCTGCATCTACTGCAATACTTTGCAGTGTTGTTGGCGCTGCCTGGCCAAGATGGCTGTGTGTGGTAGTGGTGGTGGTGGTGGTGGTATGGGAGATTGAAGGGCCTCACACATGCTAGGGAAGTGCTCTACCACGGAATTACATCCCCAGCCCTGGGTGCCATTTTGAGCAGAGCCAGTTTCCAGAGCAGGAGGAGGAGGATGCTGAGACTCCGGAGACAGACTCCTGGAACATCACCCTCTGGGCCTTGTCTCTGTCTAGGGATGCACTAGGGCAATAGGATTGATTCAAAGCTATAGAAAGAGGAGAGAAATTGAGTAAGGTCAGCCATGGCCCTTCTGGGGATGATGGAGAAGGACTGTGTGGTGTAGCAACTGTCCCTGACACATGTCTTGCAAAGCACAAGGCCTAGAGTTCCTTCGTGCAATAAATTCTACTTCGGAAAATGAGCACCGAGTACCTGCAGACCTTGGTGAGGAGCATGTATTGGGCTGGCTTCACCTGTCTCAGAGGCTCAAGCTCCAGGAAGCTCTTAAGCACCATCTCCACCCATCCTTTGGCTTTTTGTACACTGAGCTGGACTGAGCCTTCAATTCATTTCCAAGCACAATACAGTGCCTCTTCCTGTTTCCCTAACTCCTTTCCTCAAATAGGCTTCCTCTGTGCCATGAGGCAGAGGCCATTATCTTCCCGAGTCTGACACAGTGGGCCTGGCTGCTGATCCACTCCAGGTGCCCCACCTGAGCCAGAGGGAAGGGGCAGACAGAAGAAGTGTGGTGTGGATACAGCAAACCAAGGGGTTCAGCTGCGTCACGTCTCTCAAGGTCCTTACCTCGGCAGGGTCTGAACCCATAGACTTAGGTCCCAAGGTTAATAACACGGGGAAGGGGTGCTGAGTGTGCCCAGTGCTTCCTGAGTGGACCAAAGATAGCAGGCTCCTCTGTGCCAGCCCCTTGAATGTCTTCTTTATAACCAAGAAGCTTTTCAATCACAGCATTTTCCCCTTTACAGAAAAGCTGCTCAAAAAGAGGCTCATAATCTTGCGTGTGTCCTGGGGGGCACCATTCGGGGCTCCCGGGGAGGAGGCAATGCATGCTGTAAGGGTCTGGGCACAGGGCCTGGCACAGAAGGAAGATTGGACAAAGGCCCTGGAGCTTCGCTTTCTCTGTCCTATTTCAATCCAAACCACTCAGGACTGACCACTCACGCATGGCTGCCTCTGGGCACAAACCTTCTCTTTCTCAAACACTTAATAACACTGTGACCCAGCCACCAACCCTGCCTTCCCAGTTGCTGAGAAATGAAAGCTGGCTTCAAAAATTCTGACATTCGAGAAGACTGCAGAATGAAAATGTGTGCAGCGCAACAGTGAACTCTGAAGGATGCCCAAGGCTGCTGGGAGCAGGAGAGTCCTGAAAAAGGAACATTGCTCCTTGGAAAGGTCTGCCCTACCTCTGCTGCCCTCAGCAGAAGGGCCACATCTGGGGAAAGCTCACAGGCTGTGAGTCCACCGGTTGTGTGTGCGGTCCATGGGGAACCAAGAAAGGCTGAAGGGGTAGATGTGAGGGTGGGCTGCAGCAGGTATGGCCAGGACAGCAGTTCCACTGCAGAGCAAGTAGTATGAGTGGCAGCTGGCCCCAGACCAGAGCTATCAGAGGATCGAAGACTGGGCAGGAGGCTGCCAAGCTGATGACATATACAGGGCAGGAAGGATGCGACCCTGGGTGACCTACTCTTAGGTTACAGAGGTTTTGTGGGTCATGGATGTTAAGTACAGGAAGTGCGTTTTCAGGACAGAGAAAAGCCAAAAAATGGGAACAGCCCCGGTCAAACCCTAGGAAGAGCTCTATTTGGCGGTCTTGCTGCCGCAAAGGAACTTCTAGGATCCTGAAGTGCTCATTCATTTCTCCCACTGAGATCACACCATGCATTCACAGCAGGAAGAGATGGCCAAAGCCTTGCTCTGAGTTACATCAATCTTGCACTACTTGGGCTGATTCATTTTCTGGGATGGGCAGTTTGAGGGATGGAGAGACATAAAATCCAGTTCAGCACCAACTCTGGCTTCCAGTTCAAAAAACACACTGCACATCTTTGTTTCAAGATTCCAGACACTGTAGCATGACTTGCTGCCTTATTTGTCCAGAGAACCAGTGACAGGCTGCGGATGGCTAAGCTGATGCTATAAAAACTGCACACAGCAACCAGCAGCAACGCAGACTGAAACAAGGCTTCAGAGGCAGTCCTGTTTGTCAGCTTTCCAAATTCCCTCCCTGGAGAATCCCCAGGGGAATGGGTTAGTGTGGGAGTAACCAGCTCTGAAGCCACCAGGTCCCACTGTCTCCTTCCAGGAGTTTGACAGCTTGTGCACATCTGATTTACCTCAGCTCAAAAAGGAACAGGCTTGTCCAGGATTATAAAACTAGCTGGTTGCTAGCTGCAGTTTGGTGTTCCCTTGGCTACGAATCACCAGACGGCAAGTAGGATGTGGAGAAAACATCAGATATGATTGTGCAAAGGCCAGTTCCCCAGGCGGCACTGGTCCAACCCAGGCAGTGGCTGCCTAGGCCTTTGGCTTCTCGATGTTCGCCACTTCCTGTGGCCCAGGCCTGGCAGGCCTGGCAGCAGTAATGCAGATCTGGAATCCAGGAAGCCATTCCAGCTGCTGTTACAGACTGGTTCCCTCCCTGTCTGGGCAATTTCACTTCAAAGACCCTGGCCTGCAATCCCTAGCCAAGCCTTGGAAGTTACAAGGGCTTTTTTTCCCCCTTCCTTTTGAGTGTTGAGGGGTGGGGAACAGATGATATTCTCTATTCAAGATCAATATAGCAATTATGTTGGAAACATCGTCTCCAAGCAGCATGCAGACAGCTCATGAAGGACAGCTAAGGACTTACCATATGAGAAGGACCAACAGGCCACCTGGGCTTGTGGGATGGAGCCCATTGAGCAGAACTGTGTATGCAGTGGCCTTGGTATTGCCTCTGCTGGTGGGACATGGAAAAGGCCAAGTCCGGTAATGAGTTGGCACAGGTCCTGCATTGCCTTGAAGAGGTTGTTCAATTCCTGGCAACCTCCTTCTACAACCTCCTCCCCAAAGTCTAGTGACACTCAAAAATCATGCTTCGACCTTACCGTATGTTGTGTGGTATGGTTGGCAGTGTGCTGCATTCATTTGAAAGAACTAGTTCTAGGGGTCTATTTGTTGGGGGAGGGGAAACCACAAGAAATAACCTGTTTTGTGTCCTCTGTTGACCAACATTCTTCAACTAAGCCTCAACATCTAAATAATGAATAAACAAACATCTGATTCTCAGACCAGGAAGTATTATCCGGGTACTGGCCACAGTCTTCAGCACGGCTTCATGCCTGTACAGTCCCATCTACTGGGCCAGCCATTTAGGACATTTTTTCCTGATGTCCTTGGCAATGACTATCAAAACAACTGAAACTCCCCCTCTGGGGCAGGAGCTGTCCATCACAAAGACATAAATCTTCAAACACACATTCTAACCGTGTTTTGAATACCTTTCAACATGACCCTGCAAATAGGCACTCGAGCAGGCCTGCTGCTCTGGCCACTGGCTTTGTATCATTCTGAGTCAAGGAAAAATCCGGACGTGGGTGACTGAATACCTGTCCGGTCATCACCACAGTGGGCTTCCAGAAAAAGGTCCATTCTGAGGAAAGGGGCTTCAGTGTGCGGCAAGACCTCCATCTGCAAACACTGCAGGAAGATTCCACATTCCCTACAGAAAGCCTTTCTAAAATTGTAAAGAACAATGCTAAGTATTTATCCCACAATATGCATTGCTGTTCAGCCCTTGGTGTCACAGGGTTAATGAGTAGGCAGATACTTTTATTCAGAGAACAGAGAAACAGACAAGGTCAGATTAGGTAACTTTTCTTGGTTTACAAAGTGAACTATAGGTGACTCAATTTGAAGATCTTAGAGCAGCACCTCTTACATGGGTGTGTGCTAGCTGGACTAGGTGATGCCTCAGCCCAAGTGAGTCCACAGCCAGCCCAGAAAAGGCATCCAGGTTTGGGGCATCTGTGACAGCAGGTGGCCTCCTGTGTCTTAGGATTGGCTGCTTCCCCAGCACACAAAACTTGCTATAGACCTGCTGCTCAAGAAACAGTGATCATGAGGATTAGTAAACGGGAAACCTACATAAAGGGCCCCAATAATATGGACAATCAGGTCCCTGGCCGATATTTAAGCCCATACAAATGCCCAGGGAGGGGTAGGGGTGCTGATGGCCCGTGCCTGAAAGGGGTGGGGGCTGTTGGCACAAGGATGAGAATCTCTGTGAAATGAAAAGCACTGCTGCCCACCCATCTGCCCTCTGCTCTTAGAATCCTGTAAAATGACCATGCTGCTTCCTTGGGTGACCCACTCCAGGAGTCTGGCAGGAAAGCCAGGCTTTTCTGTTCAGTCCACTTCAGCACTTTGTTTAGACAGAGATCACTCCAATCAGTACTTTCTAATATCAACCAAGATCTGATCAACAAGCCTATGACCACAGTGACCAACCAGCCATTTAAAAAGATAAAAACCACTCTGGATGATGATTCCATAAAAATAAAGGGACATGTATGTCTTTTTAATTAGGCAGAAAGGTAATAGCAATTTTAAACAAAGTTTTTAAGTACACAAACATACTCCCCCGCACGCGAGGTGGATGAAGACATCCAAATGGCAACCTGCATTTTAAGTAAAGGCAGCAATTTGTCCAAGCATAGATACTGTATACATTCACGTGAGGTTAAAAGAGTGGCCAGAAATATAAAGTGGGGAACCTCAAGCTTCATAAGACCTGCTATGGGAGGCTGCTCCAATAAGAAGTGCACATGCCCAGCACTTGGACCTAACACGTCTACACCTTAATGTACTCAGCCCATTTGTGGCTACAGGTAAGACAGGAGTGGAGTTCAGGTCACCCTTGGACTTGTCTCCCTGTAAGCAAAGTGCTACCGGCTGTGAAGCTGCTCAGCATGCCCTTCTTAACTCAATGTGGGCACAGATTCCAATTCTGAGACTTCTGGAGCCTTGGCAGCTCACGGTGGGCCCATCCCACCTGTAACTGCCAGGATAGTCAATAAAGCCAGGACTAGGTATCAGCCGGGAAGACTTACAAAAAAGGTTGATACTTAAGACCACTCTACAACTTTAAAAAAATAACCCAAACAAACTTAAAAACTAGCATTAGCAGCAAGTTGAAAAAAAAAAAAAATAGAATACTTTTCTGAGGTTTACTTGACACCCAGAAAGTTTTCATCCCTCTCAAGTGCTGGGGGTGGAACCCTGGGCCTTATGTCATTAGGCAAGCACTGTGCCACTTTCATACCCATAGCCCACCAAAAAAAACTTTTGTAAAGAAGAGGAAGCTGCTTTATGAAGCACTCTGAACTTTAAAACAAGTCTAAACTGGAAGAGGAAGTTCCTTTGTGTTACGACTCTTCCTGGCATGGGGGATCAAACTCAGGACCTTGAGTTTACCAGACAGGCACAGCACCACTGGGCTAAATCCCCAGCCTTGTGTTGACTTTCAAGCTCTAGCTTCATTTCTTTGGAGTGAAGTAAAAATCTTGAGATCTAAAAATCAAGATTAGCTGCCTGTGAGTTCAGAGTTCAAGCCCTCCCCTGGGCTGACCTCAAGGCCAGAGCCATGTATGGTTTCTCAGCAGCTGCTCTAACAGGCTCGTCTGTATCATCCTGGATGGCCTAAAACTCATAATCCTCCAGCCTCAGTGAAGGACCACAGGCACACAACACGCCAGGCCACTAGGACAGTTGAGGAGGCTGTGAGGTGCTCCCACCAAACACCCCACTTCCTCAGAGGGCACAGATTAGGTAATCAGCACACTGTGTTACTAATGTTACTGGTACTAAAACTGAAATCTGCCTCCTCCTCCCCCGACTGAGTTCAGATTAGGGTTGGCGGGGGTGGTGGTGTGGGGGGAGCCAAGCACAAATTTGAGGCCATGAAGAAATCAGGAAATGCCTGGGTCAGAATCCAGGCTACAGTCATATAGATGCACACTCAAGAATTAAAAAAAAAAAAAAAAAAGAAAGAAAAAAGAAACAATTCCAACCTTATAAGTTCCATTTTAAAATCCTTCAATATTCTTAAGAATATTGCTGATTATTTGTTGCTGGCAAGTACAATCCTGAGTTGTATAAAAGGGCACAATCCACCCGTATATGCCTCCCCTCACAAACAAAGCCATCAAAATGATCCTTTTAGGGCATTTGAGAAGGATGGATGCTTTCAAAAAGAGAAGCATGATAAATAGAAACAGCAGACTTGGAGAATGGGAAGAAAATACATTATTCAAGTGCATGTCAGTCCAACACACTTCAATAGGTGGTCAGATTTTTCAAATGTGCAAAAAACACTTTCCAATTTGATCAACAGCAAGACTGGACGAAGCTGCTATCATCACTGGTAGGAAACACTCTCCATTTTTTCTGAAATGCACCAAGGCGAAACTCAAGAGGGCCAGAGTAAGCTGCAAGCCCTTGCTCACTGCAGGAGACACGCGGGTGCCCCTCCTCTGCCCACCACTGACACACAGACCGCCGGCACCACACGTGGTGGTGATGCTGCAGCTGGCTCGGAGACACTTTTCCACAACGATGGCAAGTTCTTCACTTTCATGCTTTATTGAAAGTAGAGTATGAGTCAAAGACAGGTACGGGTAAGCAGATTATGTCTCTAAAGAATCACTTTTAGTTCTGAAAAGAATGTTTGCTGTCCCATCTACTGGGATACAAATCCTTTATGGTCCTGTGCATCTGGTATGAAACTCAAGCAAGGAAATATAACAGCTTTATTCCTTTCCATGACTATAAATCTCATATGTAAACATGATTTAATGTTACTGCTACTAGTTCAATTTTTACTTGCTCCCTTTTCCCCACTACTCCCCTTATATATAAAATTTGAAACATTTCCTTCAAGTTTGATGTCCATCAGTGCAATCTGCTTTATTTGACATAAGGCATTTGGGACGGTCACTTTTGAATGGATTTTTGCCTTTTGGAAGAGTCATGTAATGGTTTAATTCTTAAATCCATCTTTTCTTTAATGCCCTAACATGCCAAAATCCTCCTCCCCTCCGGTGATTTTCTTATCCTCCTCCCCTCTGGTGATTTTCTTATCCTCCTCCCCTCTGGTGATTTTCTTAGCAGTCAGCAGTGTTCAAAGATTAATGTCCAAGTAGACCAGTACCTGAGAAAAGAAACACACGTGGAGGTACAGTTGTGAACTATACAATACGAGCTCATGTATTTCATCTGCCAAGACGCATCACCAATGGGGAATATTCAATTTAATACTGAACACAGCAGCCCCTTGGCTGCTGGAGGCTAACAAAAAACTTGGCGGACTCCAGGTCAAGTCACATTTCTGCAGAAAGCCATTTGCTTCCCTCCTATGTTTGTCTCCAAACAAGGTGATCACATTGTGTTCTTCTGGGGGCCATTTTTCATAGACATTGCTTGCTTTGCTTTGATCGTGTATCAGGGGTTCTTTTGTTGCGGTAACACATAGATAATATAGCCATGCTGAGAAGACTGTTCAGGCCATTAGTATTGTCACTTATTTGCTTTTGGCAAAGAATCCCTGACATTTTACTCATTTCCTTGGTAAAATCGCTCCCTGCCATGGACCCCTGAGTGGCCCACAAAAGAATCAACATGGGCAAGTTAAATCTGCAAAGGTCAAACATCTCTACCTGAAGGATCAATGGGCATTATTGGTATATACATCAATAGTGGCCCAAGATGCAAGACAAGGATCTACCACCATGTATGTGTTCAGCTGAAGTAATGACCCAAACCCCTGCATTCTAAGTAGATTAAGTAAACCTTTTCACTAGACCTGGCATAATTCAGTTCATTCTTCTACCACTACATCTTATCAGTTATGCAAACTTTGTTTTTTTTTTTTGAGAGAGGGTATCACTGTGTAGTCCAGTCTGATCTGAAACTCACAGCCATCCTGTTCTCAAGTCTTGAGTGCTGGGATTACAGGCATGTGTCACCAACCAAGCCCAGCAACACAAACACGGTCTGTTCTAAGAGGGACTGAAAGGAGAAACTCGAAAAAGGCTAAGTATAAATCTTGAAACGCCAGTAGCCAAGTTCCCAACCTCCTAAGAAATGAAAAAGCGTAAGTTAAATGGACATTTGGCAGGAGAGTTCTAACACATGGGCTGCATATGAGGCCTGAGTGCTGCAAATGATAATGAACGAGCTTGAATAAATTATGCCTCTAGCTAAAATTAATTCCTGCCATGAGGCTGCGATTGGATTAAATTTTAAAATCAAATTATAGCCTTCACTTTAATAGAAAATTACAGTATGATCCTGACATTCATGAACAAAACATGACAAATGGAACTTACCTTTAAACCCTTCTTCTGGCATACAAACTAGAAAAAGAAAAAAAAAAGAATCCCAAATTGAAAAGACTGACACATTAGACATAATAAGATCTCAAGGCCTTAAGATGAAAAGTTTAAAATAACTTGACTGTCTTAGTCACCTGTAATGATTACTTCTGAACTTATGGGTGGCATCAATCAGATGATCTTTCTGTGCTTATTTTTAATCCAAACATATATGTATCATCTTAAAGTCAACTACTGATGGAATGAGATGTGTCAAAAGGGCCACATTTTGCACGATTCTGGGAGTGGCCCTTGAGAAAATGACATGACTGAGTCCTTGGGAGCTGTGTCTCTTCCCCTACTCATTTTTTTGTTTTTTGGTTGTATCAGGGATCGAACTCTGGACCTTGTGCTTACAGACAGGCACAGTGCCACTGAGCTATAAATCCCTGGCCCTGCTCCTCTCATTTTCTGTAAGAAGCTACTGTTGCCTTTTTCTTCCAAAGTGTTGTTTTTTTATTTTGTCGTTTTGTTTTTGACAACGGTTTTTGGGGAGAATGCATTTAAAAAGTGGTGGACAGGCTTGTCTTTTTTTTAAAGGCAAGGTCTCACTATGTAAAATTCAAGCTGGCCTCGAACTCATGGCAACCCTCCTGAGGCAGCCTCCTGAATGCTGTGATTACAGGCATGCATCACGCCAGGCCACATCCACTGTTGATTTTGTTGCTTTTTGATACTGGGGATTGAACTAAGGACCTTGCACTTGCAAGGGCAGCAGCCTCACTTCACTGTTGACTCTTCTAGCAGCTCCTTCTGGTATTTAGCCTATTTCTTTTTTTTTTGTTTGTTTGGTACCAGGGACTGAACTCGGGACCTGAAGCTTTTGAGGCAGGCGGTGGCACCACTGAGCTAAATTCCCAGCCTTTATGTTGCTATTTCATAATTTTACATATTTGACAACTTCCTCAACCAAGATCCAAGATTCAGCTCCTTCATTACCTCCTAGGCCCTGCCCAGTTCCAGCCCTGACAGTGTGGTAGGCTGTTGCTAAGCCTCTGCCAGTTATTACTTGGCCTGCATTCACACTGCTTACAGTTGAAACCATTGGTGTGCTCTGGTTGCACGGCTGGTAGAACTGAGTGTCTCCATCTCAAGGATACACAGCACTGCTGAGGCATTTGATGTTGCTCTCATTCTCCACCAGTCCACTATTATCCTAGGAAGCCAGGCTAGACCAGGCCCTGGCTGCCTGCTGGAGAACATCTGCTCTGGATTTTCTCTTCACCCTCTTCCAGGATATCCGGTCTTAACACTGGGTCCATTGGCAGTTTCACTGTCCACTTCCTTCTGGGTTCACTCTTATGAGCATGAACTTTTTTCAACAGTTGTGAGGGTAGAACGAAACTCACGTTCTACAAGGATCTCCTGGGCAGTCTTCTTTACCAATCTTCCTTTACTCCCAGTCCTAAGAGTCTGGTTTTTATTATTAGAATCCTCACTGTTTCTCCTGATGCTGGAGACTGAGGGTACTGCTAAATTGCTATGGCTGGCCTTGAACTTGTGGTCCTCCTGCCTCGGCCTCCGAGTAGCTGGACTTACATGCACATGCTACCACATTGTGCAGGATTCTCTTATCTTTAGTTTTTCACTGTCAGATCCTTTACTTTTTATTTTCTGTTCTGTTCCTTTGTGGAGGGGATGGAAACCAGCCTGTCTGGGAACTGCAATCTGAATTAGCTTTGCATCCTGGGAACTTACTCATACTGCTAGCTAGCATTCACTGTAATTTCCTCAGGTTAACTAAATCCTATGTTTCTCTCTTGGCTCTACACTTTCCAAATTTTTGCATGTGTCTCTCCCTTCTTTTAAAAAAATTTTAAGACAGATGTATGCTTCCACCCTATCAGCATGCAGAAGCAATGTGTCCGGCTAAAAGTAAAGGCACCGTGTACTGTGGCCTCGCTATCTATGATCCCACGTCCTCCTAACAATAAATGCCCAGAGTAAGTTCATCTTTACCTTGCATGACATCATCCATTGCAGCATAATCTGCAATTGGTTCATCAGCCTAGGAAACAAACAAAAATAGTTCAGACCAACTAGAGGAGGGGAGCTGGAGAAGAGTGGGCCAGCTACTCACACTCAAGTCCGCAAAACACAGAGGAGCCCTGTCCAGTAGAGAACTCAGTTAGAGCCACAGCCAGTGATAGACATACCAGTGGATACTCAGTCAACTATGGGTCAGGCTCATCTCACAGAAAATGTGGGGGAGCAGAGGCATTATCTTCTGTCTTCTAAAGACACCTTTAGGAGTGGAAATGTCTAAATCTCTACATGGCCTGAGGTTGAAAAGGCTGATCAATTAACATGAGGTAAGGTGCTAGAGGCCACAGAGAGGTAGAAAAAGTAATGCACAGCTCTTCTCATAATACTAATTTGGTTATAAGTACACTTTTGATCTGCTTCACCATCAAACACCCACTTCAGTTTTACAGGTGAGCTTCAGTCTGGGCTTAAATTGAGGTACTGTCCACCTGCAGTGTAAACCCTTTAATGTAATGTGGAAGGGTCCTAGGAATCTAGGCAGGAGCATTAGGCTTCAGCAACTCCACAGGATGTCAACACTATTGCACAGGCTACAGTCCCAGGAAAAGTAAAGGGTAAACAAAGGGAAGAAGAGGTGAGTGGCAGGATAGTAGTGTGTGTACATTAAGGAAGGGGACATGGGTCTGCATGCTACAACCTCATTTTGAATCCAGAACTTAAGAAACAGGATTTCACAGTTAAGAAACTGAAAAACTACACTACAGTTATGCAGTCTTATTTGGCAAAGTGAGGGTTAATCTGGCCACCAAGAAGCAAAGGGGGCAAAGGAAGCAACAAGATGGTAGGAAAAGGAAGGTCAAGCTAATGAGGCCTCAGCAACTAGAGAGGGGAGCTGGATCAGACTGGGCCAGCTACTCATCACAGCTACTCTACTCAGCTTTCTAAAATATCTTCAACCTCCACTAAATCCAAAGCCTATTACCATATCATAGACAGGAAATGCACTAAATGCACTAAACCAGAATTCTGATTCTGTGATAAAACCGTGTGTCTTATGCATGTCACCCAGCTTGCCTGGCGAGCAACCCTAGATCAAAAATCTGAAACTTCTTGAGCTTTAATAAGATGTTACATGTGAAAAGTTCCACAATGACTTGATGTGGCAGATGCTATCAGAACACGGATGAATTAAAAATATCGTATAAAATACTTCCAAGCTTTGTGTATAACGTGTACATAGGGAACTCAAAAATTTATAATGACTTGATGTGGCAGATGCTATCAGAACACGGATGAATTAAAAATATCGTATAAAATACTTACTTCCAAGCTTTGTGTATAACGTGTACATAGGGAACTCAAAAATTTTGTGTTAAGACTTGGGTCCTATTCCCCAAATATTTCATTATGTATATGCAAATACTTCTAAATTTGGAAAAGTTCCAAATTCAAAACACTTCTAGTCCCAAGTATTTCTGGTAAGGCATAACCGGCACTCTTGAACCCAGAGGAAAGGAGAAGCTGCTGTCATAGAGCTACTACATCATTCACCCGGCAAGCTGGAATGGGAAAGGTTAGGGAGAAGCTGAACATAAAACCTCCCTTTATTTTATTTTATTTGGTACTGGGGATCGAACTTGGGTCCTTGTGCTTGCGAGGAAGGTGGCGGAACCACAGAGCCAAATCCCTGGCGCAACCTCCCTTTACTTTAATTGCAGTTTGGGGACTGCATCCAAGGCCTTTCACAAGGTAGGTAGGCATTCTACCACTGAGCTACATCCCCAGCCCTTTTTATTTTGAGACAATGTCTCAACAAGTCACCAAGTTGCTTAGGTTAAGCTGCAATCTGAAATCCTGCCTCAGCCTCTGAAGTATGTGGGATTATACATACGCAGAGATCACCATGCCTGCTACAACCATTACCTTTCATAAATATTATGAAACCCCTACTGTCTTCACTGAAACTTTGAGTTTGTTAATCTACGTTTTAAAGTATAACTCAGTAAATTACTCATCCACACTAATCACATACTCATTTTGGCAGTGAGGTGCAGCCTTTCAAAATAAGTTCAAGGCGTCTATGTCATTTTTTAAGGTCAGTCCTCCCAGCTAGGCAAAACAAAGTGGGTGGTTGGGGTGCAGAGAAAACATGTGAACAGAGACCAGGCTACCCACTTGGCCCAGCAAAACACCCACTGTGACTGTTCCTGGGGCCAACAGTCAACCTACAGTCTCAGAGATCCAACACCCCACCCCCTGCCTGAAGAGAAAGAAGAAACAAATCTGTATCTAGAAGAGATGTGCCCTGTCACTGAGATTCAACAAGAAGAAACGTGGCGTGAGGGCTGAGGATTTAGCTCAGTGGTTCCACCACCAGCCTTACAAGTACAAGTTCATCCCCAGTACCAAAAAAAGCGAGAGAGAGAAAAAAATTTGGCGGGAGTCTCCCAGCTGCTGAAGGTTTTCCACCATGGCCTGCCCTGTGAGAACAGGGAACAGCACCCCTACAACCATCTACCGACTCAGCACTGTGCCGAGTGATCCAAGGACTGACTGTTGGCGGGGAGCCTTCACCTTATGGTGTGGACAGTGGCTGACATTGTGTCACTGTAGCCTACTATGAAAACCAAGAGAAAGCCCCAAAGTATCTATCTTCTAAGTCTCCTGAAGCTCAGGTAGAGCTGGGACATGGGGTGTGTGTGTGCAAAGCTCACTGTGGTAGCTGACTGCACCCTGTGGAGGCCCCAGCATCCTTTAACCACTATTTCACATCATCTACACATCATTAAAATCCAGAGTTCCTGAGCTAGGGAGCTGTTACTTACCTTTAATAAAATGACAGATTCAGGTATGACGCCAAGGGTACCAAGGGTGGCACAGTCATCATTTAAAATCTTTCCATCAATTGATAAATTCTGGTCAAAAGGAGCAACTGAAAATGCATGCATGATCTGTGCAAATTTAAAACAAAACAAAAAAACAAGTGTGTACAAAAGCAATTTACTGAGACCTATACCCTATCTAAATAAATAAAGCATGGATTCTAAAAATTACAGACAAAAAGGCTTCAGAGTACAAGAGAAAGGTCTTTGCAGTCAGCCCACTTGTTACATTCCTACTGAGCCTATAATCCCTGACAGAGCCAGAACACCCTTAGGAGGTCTGGTGCAGAAGGGAAACAACTGTATACACAGATCCTTTTGTTTCTACCTTACCACCTCCCCAGGGCTGGGGGCAGAGAGCCAAAGGGAGGAGACAAAAACAGCTGGGCCTCTGGCTCGCTGCTGCTCAGCAGTCTTGGCTGTAAGGCTTGGGCACTCCACCACTCTCAGGCTCCACTTTCTTTCACAGTCAAGTTCAGCCATACCTAAATTACCCTAAATTAACCTCTTCAGACTTTTCTCCCTTTGTGTTTACTCCTTTAGCATAGGATTTAGACTGTACCTGTAATTCAGTCCTTGTGACAATCATATACTGTTTTTTTTTTTGTTTTTTTTTTTGTTTGGTACAAGGGATCAAACTCAGGTCCTTTTGCTTTAGAGGCAGGCAGTGGAACCACTGAGCTAAATCCCTGGCCATACTAACCTATTTTCTTAACTGAATCTTAACACTAGGCACCAAAATAATAATTTCTTGAGGATAAGGGACATGTCCAGCACACAGCAAAGTATTAAATATACTCTAAAGAACTGTTAAATACCTTTTTGAATTCAGAAAAAAATGTTCATGTTTATTATTTCTGGATAGTAATTACCTCTGAAGGGCAATAAAGACTTGGAGTCAAAGGCAAACACAGGTACCTTTGATGATACTGTTCTGTTTCCAAACTGCCAGGACCCATTCAGAAACATTTATTCTATTTTGCTTTATAATTCAGTGACATTCATCAGATGTGCCTTATCACATGTATCAATTACACCAACATCCATGATGCATGGGAAGACCCATTCCACCTTCCCCTGACTTTTGTTCCTCGAGTGTGGAAAGAAAATGAGTCTAGCAAATCATCTCTGAACTTAGTGTATAACGGAGCCTGCTGGTGACCAGAAAGGTGATTTTTCTAATGGCACAAAGGTAAGAAAGAACAAGGAGAAAAACTCCAGAATCTTACCCGGACTTCTCAGAGACATCAGCCTCTGATAATCAGCAAGAACTGACTGTATAGAGATCTGTGGCTAACAATGCCAGTGGCACTGGCTTCATCAATGAACTTCATAAAGCAATTAATAGGCCTGTTTCTCACATGGAAGATATACTGACAGGATAAGCTCCACCAAAACCACCCCGGCACAAAGAGTGTTAAGCAGAAGCATTCAGGCCTAGGCCAGCAAATGGGAGCCTCAAAGACACTAGCAGAGCTGCAGGAGGTATGTGATGCTAACAGATTGAGGGGACTGTCACAGCCACCTGAATGAGCACACTTTGTCTCCCCAAATGCTCACTCTTTAGAGCCTCAAGAGACTGGACAAACACCAAAGACAGCAGCTCTAGCTAGATCTGAGCAACATGGGCAGAGGGACTGGCATTCACGCTTTGCACTGAACACCAATGAAGCATTTATTAAGAGGTGACCGTGTGTCAAGTACTGGACTAAATGCTGGAATTATAAACCTGAACAACGCCATCCTGCGAGGGTTCACAAGAGGGACGGCCAAAAGTCATGGAGATGGTGGCACAGGTGTACACAGAGAAAAGGATAGTCATTTCTACAACAGGGGCCAAGAGAGCGTCACAGAAGAGGCTCCATGACCGATGAGCCAGGGCTTGCAGGTACAGAGGTGACTGAGTCCAGGCATGTAGGGGCCATGGTACAGTAATTCACAAACTGTAAGAGATTCAGTGTGGTGAACATGAATGATACAGGGCTGCTCCAGGAGCATTACTGGTACAGGTACAGCATTACTGATCTACATGGTGGAACCCAAGCAATACAAACTCCTCCATGCCGTTAGCATAACAGCTCTGCCTGCTGGCTACGGCAGGTAGGGCTGAACCAAGGAAGAGAATTAAATCTCGGAGCCAAAAGGGCCCCTTCCTAAACCAAGCAACAGAACCACCAACTGCAGATTTATCTTTTGGCAAGTAATAATGTAATTTAGAGCTGGCCTTAATAAAATTATGCAATTAAACACTGCATTTTTGGAGAAAAGGAATAAATGGGTTACACTTCATTTACTTTATGCCATCATAGATTTGGTGGATTAATTATATAAACCAAGTTTCTTATGGCTTCCAGCAATTTCATGTATGTCCAGAATCTAGCACTTATGGTTTTCCAAAGACTGTCATCCTATTAACTTCGAAATATAGTAGCCCAAAGGAAAGGGTCCAGCTATTAAGGAAAAACAATCACACCCTTTTCAAACAGCTGCCTCCTCCAGGGATCACGCGCATGCCCAGCACAAACCCCCATGGTATACAGGCTGCCAGGCAAAAGGGTCAGATCTGAGTGAAGCTTTAAAAGCTGCACCACTGAGCAGCAAGGGGAAAATTACATTCCACTGTCCTTTCTTTCATCCAGTTTGATTCACAGTGGTCCTGGCAGCGAGAGTGGGAGATGAGATGACAGATAATGCAAAGGAAGAACCAAGAAAAGCACATCTGGGGGTTTCTTTCTGCTGAACAGCTGCTGCCTTCTAGCATCTCATCCATGCAGGTAACATGCTCCCAGATGGAGAGGCTTTTCTTTTGGCTTCATTTATCCATCCAAAATAGTAGTCCATAATAAAAGCAGTGCAGGCTTTTTAAATGTCCTCTCCACAGGGGCTGTTTTTGTAATTTAAAGGTTTTGAATGTTGGAGGTTTACCGCTGACAGGCAAGAAAGCCACTGGTGGAAACAAGCCTTCTTAGATGTAACGGGTACAATAACAGAGGAAAGATTGTGCCAATACGTTTTATTTTCAGAGCTGCGGGTTCAACCAAGGGAAATACTGTTCTCAGGACAATCTGGAACACATAACACCCTCAAAGGAAGCCTGTATTTTTGCCTCAATTACAATGATAAATATCACCAAAAAGAAAAATACATAAGTAGTAACCATGGCACGGAAAAGTGGCAGAGAGAATTTGGTCAACTTTTTGGATACTGTGACCTGATTTTTAAAATGGGCATATTGGGGCCAGGGATTTAGCTCAGTGGTTCTGCTGCTCCCTCCCAAGCTCAAGTTTCTGGGTTTGATCCCTGCTAAAATAAACAAACAAATAAAATGGACATATCGAATCATCAGCTCCTTTACCCTAAGATTTGAGATATGCCAATGAGATGCGCAGTTACAGTGCTTTAGGGCTGATACCAAGATGTGAAAATATATAATAAAGCATTTCCATGTCCGCATTATGACCAACCATGAAATTGATTTGTATGATATGCAGGATGGATCAAAATCGAATCTACCTTAGCAATTTGGAAATATCTCACATCATAAAGAATGCTAAAGGTGGGGCTAGGGATTTAGCTCAGTGGTGCCACCAACTGCCTTACAAGTACATGGTCCTAAATTCAATCGGGGTCCTCCCCAACCTGACAAAAAAAAAGATAAAGATAACCTAAAATGTTATCAAATGGGCTTATCTGCCACCAAAAACACTCTAGCTCATATGAGTAAATAGGCTTTCAGGGGTCTGGTTTTTTTTTTTTTTTTTTGATTCCTTAAATTTCACAGCAGATCTTGGTAACAGGTTCAAATTTTAGGTGGACAAAGAAAAATATACAGCACCACAGAGACCAATTATCCTCGAACAACCTTGACATGTGACAAATTAAATGGTTCTCAATGTTTCTCATTATTGAAAAGCTACTCAGAAGATGCCCATGGGTTTCAGTATCCAAAAAGCACTTTGATCTTCACAGAAACGCTCCTATTTTGAAACCAAAGTCTTTCAAAATAAAGTTATTTTAATTTGGGGGCCTTGAGAGTATGATTCTAAAATCAAAAGAACCATCTCTCAATAGCGTGACATTATGTGCACATAGTTGTTTAAAAGGTCATGCTGGGAGAAAACAGATACATAAATACAGGCAGAAAGCCGGACTCATACAGCCTCTCTGAGGTCCAGAGCATATGTGAAAAAATGTTAGCTTTTCCTCACCTGAATTTTCAATTCTTTTAATGTTTGATTAGCAGAAACGAGAAGTGCTTTCTCACCGCGAACTTTTCTATGTCGCATACTCCGGCGAATGACTTGTTTTTGATAGGCTATGTAATTTTGATGGGTTATCTTCTGCCGCTTTGTTCCTCCATTGCTCTACAATAAAGATGTGAAACAAAGAAATTTCTGAAATTACCCACAATGTGACCCCTGCAGTAACCTTTCATCATTCACCGTAAATAACAAAATCCTAGAGTTTCTAACTGAACAAAAGCAAAGGATGTGCAACCTTAGATAGTTGTTACATCAAACATTTGTAAGCAAAATAAGATAAGCCCAACTCTGTGAGGCTGAAGCAGAAGAATCCTAAATTTGAGGCCAGGATGGACCTGTCTCCAAATGAAATGGGTTAGGGATGTAGCTCAGAGGTAGAGTATCTGCCTAGCATGCACATGGCCCTGGGTTCAACTACCATTACCAAAAAAAGGAGAAAGGAAAACAGCTTGTGACATTCAATCCAAAGACAATAAATTAAAATTTTATAATTACTAAACTTACTTAATGAGTAATCTGAATTCTAATCTGTTTAAATATTTTTTTCTATTTGAGAATCACAAGAGAACTGCCGAGTTTGTTTTTACACAAGGTTTGGCTGTGTGTTCCAGGATGGCCTTGAAGAGGCCAGTCTGGACTCTATATAGTGAGTTCAAGGCCAGTTTGAACTATGTAATGAGTCCCTGTCTCAAAAAGGGAGGAAGGGGGAGGGAATTTAGCCTGTGCTTCCAACGCCTGCCTCGCAAGTGCAAGGTCCCAAGTTCGATCCCCCGCACAAAAAACAAAAAATAGGGCCTCATCACAGTAGTGAAATATACACTTTCACCAAATAAGTACTACTGCAAAAAATGTTAGAACTGAATGTGATCAAACACTTAGACCCAACCTCCAAGTTTTAGAAACTGGAATATTAAAGCGCTGGCAAGAGAGTTAGTAGAAGAAATGAAACTATTCTCCAAGTAAACATTAAGGAGGGATAGATTAGGGGCCCAAGTCCTTCTATAACATCTTGTGAGAGGTTGACAAGAAGTCACGACTCTTCTTTTAACCAGGACATAGATTGAAAGCAGGATTTGAGAAAATAAAGTCTTCGCTGCATTAATTACATCTGGATGAAGTAACCCTGAGGCCTCCCTCTGGTCCCCATACTTGTCACTGAGTGTCAGTGTGATGAGCAGAGTGGCTCAGTCACCGTGGACACACATGCCCCAAGCTCATTAGCAGCAGAGCTCCGCGGGTTTTACACAAAAGCACACTGGGTTTGGGAGCTGTTCCTTTGCATGGCTCAGCCCGAGTTTACATAGTTGTGAGGCTGATTCACAAGAAAATGTTGAGGTTTTTTTTTTTTTTAAAGAAAAGGTCAAGCTGAACCTACATTCTGCAATAGGGAATAAAGGGGAAAAACATCTAGAGAGATATGATCTTATTTTAGGAGTATAAAAGACAACAAAAGAACAAAGCCATGAACATCAAGTAAGATAATTTTTAAAAGGCGGGATTCTAAATGGGTCTAAAGGCTTTTCCAGGAATTATTCTCCACTAAACCAACAGAGTTTAAATTCAACTTAACTGATAAAAACCAGCCCACTGGTTTTAGAGGGATTCCAATTACCTAAGTGATATTGAATACTGAGTGTATTATTAACCTAAATTTTAGATAGCATCAAAAGAACTGGGTTCATCTAGCTTAGAAGAGGGAGAGGGATTTGTTCAACTCCATTAAGGACAAGCAGAAAGGCATCGTTTTGTATTACAGGGAATTAAAACAGCAATTACAGAAGCTGACTATGTTCTGAAAACTGCCATATTACAAAGAAAAGGGTGAGAAAAAGATAACATTCTGAAGAGGCATGGCCCTCTTCAAGGACTGTCTACTCTGCTAAACAAAGAAGGTTAGACTTGAGATGTTTTTGTGAACCAAAAATATTTAAAACATCCTAGAGTATTATAACATCCAAATAAGGACAGGGTAGACAGCGCAAAATTATAAAGTATAAAATATAATCGCAGCATAAAAAGCAACATCCCCCCAAATTCTCTATCATATTTATAAATGTGAAATCTGTTATCCACAACTGAACAGAGTAATTCCACATCCACTTTAAAAAACATGGCTGTGGTAATGGCCACAACGAATAAAACCAAATATTCAAAACAATTACTCTTTCAAAATGTTTTTGAGGGTATTAGGTAGGGGGAATTCTGGGGATTGAATCCAGGGCTGCAGACATACTAAGCACACACTCTACCGCTAAGTGGCATCCAGCCCCTGTACGGTGTAACAGCTCCTTTTGGCGGGTGGGGAGGTGGGGTTTCAGACATGGTCTCACTATGTAGCCCAGGCTGGCCTGGAACTCCAAGTAATCCTCTTGCCTACTAAGTGCTGGAATTACAGGTGTGCACCACCATGCCAATTTATTTTCTCAACAACTCTGAAAACTGAAAAGCAGAACTTGAAATAAACTAGAGACAGCATATGCTTCGAGATTAACTAACCAAGTTTTAACAGAGAATGGAGAATTAATAATAATTAGCAATAAAAGAGGAAAAAGGTGAGATGCACAGCTGATTTTTTTGTACAGGGGATGGAACTCAGGACCTAGTGCCTGCGAGGCAGGCATGGTACCACTGAGCAAAAAATCTCTGGCCAAAAGAATTTAAAACACAATCAGGCGTGGTGGTGCACAACTGTAATTCCAGCACTGTGCAAGAAGAGGCAGAAGGACTAGTCCAAACTGGGCTACCTAGTGAGTTCACGGCCAGCCTTAACTATATAGTTAAAAAAAAAAAAAAAAAAAAAAAAAAAAAGAAGCATGCTATCAAGTGACAGTAATTAAGTCAATTTGGCACTGAGAGCCAAGATGAGAATGTTATTTTCGTCAAGATGGGTATGTAATCCTGCGAGCGAGCGACTACGTACATATATGTAGTCTTATAATAGCAACTAAAAAAATGCAAATAACCTTCTTTGAAATATGGCTTGTAGAGATGGAGAGATAAAAATAAAACAAGCCAGGTGTGGTGGCACAACCCTGTAATCCCAGCACTCAGGAGGTTGAGGCAGGAGGATCTCTGTGAGTTCGACCAGCCTGGGCTACACAGTGAGTTCCAGGGCAGTCTGAACTACATAGTGAGACCCTGTCTCAACAAACAAAA